AAGTAGCTGTTCCTGTCTGAGAAGCAATCTGGGCCTGATCAGCAGCTGTGGTACCGGCAGCAGCAGTGGTACCGGCAGCAGCAGTATCCTGACCACCCTTAGCCTGCTGTGCTTGTGGCTGCACACTCTGTAATTAAAAGCATGTACGAAAGTCAAACTTATCACAAATGCTACATAAAACATGGTCTGATATATTACTAAAAAATTCAATGCACTCACAGGGCAATTTTGCGCATGTTCTTGAACTTGACGATGCACAATCTGAATGCCACACCTATTACATACAACCGGAGAATTGCCAAATGCACACCCAGAACAATGAGCTGTACATTCAGACAGAGGACCCTGCCATGTGCAGCCGCTTCTATGGTATAGACAATGAACTGCGATTTTCCCAATGGTGTCAGCAAGCATCTTATTCGACTCAACAAGTGGCTGTATTTTGAGGGGAAAAGAAAATGGTCAATAAGTAGGAAACAATGATATTGAGAATACAATAAGAACCATCAAAGTGTCGGAGACTTACCTTAGAATCAGCTTCTGTTACTAAGTAACCATCATAAGGACAAGCTCGAGTAGTGCTGACAACATAGGTTAAACATGGTTTGCAGTAAAGATGGGTGCATTGCGACTGTAACGCTTCATTTGGGTAGACAAGTAGACGACAAACAGGACAGAAGTACTCTCCGGCCAGAGATTGGATATTCAGTATGCACTCGTTATCAAATCCCATTCTGTCAAAGGAATTCGGCTTCAACTCCCAATGTGCATCAATCTAATTAGCCTTCGAATTAGAAAATAAGAAAAAAAAAAGGGGAAAAATCATCATTTCCAGACAGAGCAGCATTAGTAAAATCAACAATGTGGCTATTAGCAAAACAATAATGCAGTTAAGAAGACGACTCAAACAATCAAAATCAACAAACTGTAAGCAGGATCCCTACAATTAATCAAATGTTATCAATCTTCATAATTTTTTTTGCAAAAAAATAATATGATAAAACATAATAATAGTTCAAAGAAATAAAATACGCAATCATGATTGATACTCCAGCCAATCTGAATCAGAGATAGAATAATTCCAACATGCAAAACAAAATTATGCAAAGAAAGACAAACATTTTCCCTTTCGTTTTTCACCTTGGCGCATTTTCTCAGCAGCCAAACAAGGGAGAGAATATTGTATACCTGAAATTACCTAAGATTTCGACTCAGGGCTACTTTTAAACCCTAACTCCAATCGCACCTGCAAACTTCGAAAATAAACAAATGAATGAATAAATAAATAAATAAATAAAAGATTTAGGGTTTTTCAAAAGGATCGGAGAATAACAATAAGGTTGCGTAAATTGAACGCAAGTGTTTCGAGGCATTGAAAAGAATCTTACGGTTGGAGAAGGCGGAGCAGCTGAGAAGAGAGCGTGCGATAGACGAACAGAGAAACTACTTCTTAAAATAGTCAGATTCATTTAAGACATGGCGATTATGCTTTTATATTTAATCAATTTACTTAAGAAAATAAACCAAGACAAAAGAAACAGTCGACAAATTACAATAAAAGAAAAAACGATTATCCTTCTAATACTTTTTATCAGTGAGAGATGTGACCCTGTTTCTGGGTTTAACCTAAGGCCACTGACAGCGGTTAGCATGTAAAGTAGTACTATAATATTTTTGGGTTATTTTTTTATTTTATTTTTTTAGATAATAATTCAGAAAATATGCTGTGCAAAATATTATTTGTAAAATATTTAAATATATGATTGAATCATTTAAAAATAATTTAATAAATTTTTTATTATATTTAATTAAGTTTTTAATATTTTATTTTTATTAAAATAAGTTTTATAATTAATGATTAATTAATTATAATGGCTACTAACTAATATAACATTTATTAATTTTTTTATATAACGTGATATTAATAATGCATATTGACATGTTAAAGTAAAAAGTGATTTAATATGTTAATATTTTATGATATCATGATCACTTGACAGTTTCAACATCAATATTAACATATACGACATATTAACATATTATAAGAGATAATGATGTAACATAATATTTACAACATTAATAGCTTCATACTACACATATGTATAAAATAAAAATATATATTTTAATTAATAATAATTAATTAATCGATAATCATAAAAGTTAATTTGACTTGAAATAAAAATATAAATACTTAATTAAATGTAAGAGGTAATAACAAAAAATAAATTTATTTGAATTTTTTTAAGTAATTCAATAATATTTTAGAACATTATATCTATATATATAACTGTAAAAATATTATTTTTTGTTTGAAAAAGTATATTTTATTAGCACACAATTGATATACCATTGTTAATCTCAATATGAATTACCAAAGACTCCTATTGACATGAAAGCCGGTTAGGTAAAACAAAACCTGTACAATAAAAGGGCTTTGGTTTTCCCTAAAAGCTAACTAAATCTAACTAATTTTTTCTATTGAAATTTGAGATATTTATTTGGCTTTAATTTTATGTTCATTTTGCCATCAAGGATATATAGGGCAGAGTCAATTTCCTTATAGGTTGGATTTTGCTGGTTTAGTTGAGTTTGGTTTATATTCTATCAAAAAATAATTTCTTCTAGTGCACCAAAAAACTAAATTGAATTCTTTTAATTGTGTTGTAACACTTTAGGATATACTACTAAATTTAATCTAAAGAAACTAGGTAATATATGCTTTTAGCCTTCTTGAAAAAACTTATAATGTTGCATTATTCCATGGTGGAAACCACCAATATTCTACTATCAAATCATTCAAAAATCCACTAAGTAAATATTTTGTTAGAATATGCATATATTCTAGATGATAACATAAATTTCCTTTTGGCAAACAAATATAATTAGGAATAAAAAAAGGGTAAGTAGCTTAAAGAACAAACGCATATCAGAATCACTTGGTGGGTCCTTTTTGTTGAGTTTACTCCAATGTAAGAAGACCTAAGTCAAGTCAATCATGTGACTGTACATTTCTTCTCAGGTAA